AAATGTTCCAGTGGTTAATTACTCTCACTGGTAAGCCTTATTTCCTGCTAAACCCAGGGTTGTGAGTTCAATCTTTGAGGGAGCCACTTAGGGATCTGGGGCAAAATCAGTACTTGGTCCTGCTAGTGAAGGCAGGGGGCTGGACTTGATGACCTTTCAGGGTCCTTTCCAGTTCTAGGAGATCAGTATATCTCCATATATGTATTTTAACTTCCAGCTATTACATCATTATACCTATCTCTGCTAGACTGAAGAGTCCATTATTAAATATTTGCTCCCCAAGTAAATACTTACAGACTAATCAAGTCACCCCTTAACCTTCTCTTTGTTAAGCTAAATAATTGAGTTATTTGAGTCTATCACTATAAGGCATGTTTTCCAATCCTTTAATCATTCTCACAGCTCTTCCTGAATTGTGGACACTAAAACAGGACACAGTGTTCCAGCAGCGACCACACCAGCGCCAAATATAGAGATAAAATAACCTGTTTACTCCTACTCGAGGTTCCCCTTTATGCATCCAAGAATCACATAAGCTCTTTTGGCCACAGCATCCCAATGGGAGCTCATGTTCAGCTGATTATGCACTATGACTCCCAAACCTTTTTCATAGTCACTACTTCCCAGGATAGAGTCCCCCATTCTGTAATATGACCTCCATTCTTGTTCCTAGTTGTATACGTTTACATTTAGCCATACTAAAACATTTTGTTTTCCTGCACCCAGTTTTCCAAGCGAACCAAATCGCTCTTAATCAGTGACCTGTCCTCTTCATCACTTACCACTCCCCCAATTTGTGTGTCTTCTGCAAATTTTATCAGTGATGCTGATAGGTTTTCTCCCAGGTCATGGATATAAATGTTAATTAGCTCAGGGCCAAGAACTGATGCTGGAAACACACATGCTTGATGAAAATTACATTTTGAGACCTAACAGTTGGCCAGTTTTTAAACCATTTAAAGTACAAGACTTTAATTTTATAAGAGACTCAAGATGGGTGAGGTAATATCTTTTATTGGACCAACTTCTGTTCATTAAAGAGGCAAGCTTTTGAGCTCCACAGAGCTCTTCTTCAGGTTTAATCCAGACAGTTGGTCCAATAAGAGATATTACCTCATCCACCTTGTGGGTTTCATATCCTGTGACCAACATGGCTACAACAACACATCAAACAACAAAAGTTAATTTTATATCGTTCTAATTTTTTTTTTAATCAAAATGTTGTGTGGTACCAAGTCAAACACCTTACAGAAGTCTAAGTATATTACACTAACACTATTACCTTTATCAATCAAACTTGTTATCTTATCCAAAAAACATATCAGGTTATTTTGACAGGATCTATTTTCCATAAACCCATGTTGATTGGCATTAATTACATTACCCCCTTTTAATTCTTTATTAATCAAGTCCCATATCAGCTGCTCCATTATCTTGCCCAGGATTGGTGTCAGGCTGCCAGACCTATAAATTACCCAGGTCATCCCGTTTACCTTTTTTAAATATTGGGACAACATTAGATTTCTTCCAGTCTTCTGGAACTTCCCCACTGTTCCAAAACTTACTGAAAAGCAACATTAACAGTCCAGTGACCTCCTCAGCCAGCTCTTTTGGAACTCTTGGGTGCAAGTTATCTGGCCTTGCTGATTTAAAAATGTCTAACTTTAAGCTTTTGTTTAACATCCTCCTGAGATACTAGTAGAATGGGAAGAATGTTATCGCCATATGATCAAACTATATCTCCCCCACCCACCCACCAAATACAGAACAGAAATATTTACAGAACACTTCTGCCTTTACTGCATTATTATTGATAATTCTACCATTTCCATCTAATGATGGATCAATACCAATGTCAGGAGTCTTTTTGTTCCTAACATTTTTAAAAAAACAACTTCTTAGTGTCCTTAACTCTGCTGGCCACAAATTTCTCCATGTGTCCCTTAGCTTCCCTTATTATTCTACAATTTCTAACTTCCAATTTATATTCATCACTATGTAATTAATGCCAATATAGATAAAAAATTTAAAAATTATTTATAGCTCCCTTCACTTCCCCTCTAAACAAGGTCTGTTTTACAACCTTCTTCCTCTATTGTGGCTTTTGGGGCATCTAGTAAGGTGTTCTTAAATGATTCCAAATTCTCATTCACATTTTTCTGATTAAATTCTTCCAACTAGCTGACCTGGCTCATAATTGGTTTCAGCTTTGTGAAATTTGCCCTATTAAAGCACCAAGTATATATATTACTGGTCTGGATTTTATTCAGCTTGCACATTATAAACGTGATCAAGAGACGATCAACCGTACTCACTCATACAGTCTCTTATACAAGTGCCAAATGGCATTACTCATGCAACGTCAGAGTCACAGTTTTCAACAAGGTTTGTGCAACCAGCGCACTGTTCCCCTTAAGTGGAAATGTACAGAGACTCTCAAAAAAGATGATACAGTATTCAGAGCAAAGTTAACTTGGATAGGTTCTACATGCTGACTATTTTATGGTATACATTTAACAAACTACATATTTAAACAAGAAAACTAACAATGATACATGTAGTATAAGCAATGTGGCTAATTTAACAATAGTGTAGAAACCTTATCTTCCCCATAGTTAGTTAGTGCTAACAAAGTACAGGAGAAGATAATGGTGGGGGTCTTTCACAGACCACCAAATCAAACCAGAGAACAGGATGAATTACTCCTTAAACAACTCCTCTGAAACGTGTGGAAAGAAAACTCTTATGGGAAATATATGCTGGAATTCTCATGCAGATAGTAATTAAATATCATTAAAGTTTCTCAAACTTATTTAAGATGGTTTTCTAACACAAAGTATTGCACACATGTAAGAACTATTTTGGACCTCATTATGGTGAATAAAGCTGAATTAATCACTGGACTCAGAGTTTCTGGTTGACTAGTGATCACTTATCATGACCTGATTATATTACGGGCAAAAAGAGGATGATTCCAACCAGTAAAATATATACTTGGTACTTCAAAAGTGCTAATTTCCCAAAGCAGAGGACAATTATGAGCAAAATTGATTGGGAGGAAAATTCAGAAAGAAAAATGCCGATAAAAATTATGACCAAAAAGTTACAATTCTACTATCAAAAGAGAGGACAACTTTGGCTAAAACCTGGTTTAGAGCCAAAGTGGAGGCAGTAATTAGAAATGAGAAAGCAATTTATAAACACATGGGAAATAGATAGCAATCAATAAAAATTAGAAGATAAAAGTCCGGAAAATTGATACGGGAAGCTGAAGGCACCAGGGAAAAAATATATGCTTGGCAGGACTGTGGACAATAAAAGGTGGAGGTTTTATTTTTTTTGTTTTGTTTTAAGTATGTAAGCAACCTAAGTAATCCTAATAATAGAATAAGCCCATTACTAGATACAGATGGCAAAATTGTTAATTAGGATGCAGAAAAAGCAGGGCGTTCAATAAATCTTTCTGGTCTGCATTTGGAAAAAAAAAAAAAAAAAAAGGCAGGATAATGAATTCAAAACACATGAGGATGATGAAGTACCTTCCAGTCCCTTAGAAACCAAGGAGGGCATTAAACATTATTTACCAAGGATAAACATATTTAAATCAGGAGGCCCAGATGACTTGCACCCAAAAGTCCAAACGAGTTGGTTTGGAAGACCTCTGGCCTGCTGATGTTAATTTTTAATATATCCTGTAATACAGAATAAATTCCAAAAGACTGGAAGAGTACTAATGTTGTGCCATTATTCAAAAAAGGACAAATGAGATAACCTGGACAATGGCCCACTTAGACTGACATAAATCCCAGGCAAAGTAATGAAAAGCTGATACAAGATTCAATTAATAAAGAACTAAAGGATAGAAATACAGTTAATGTCAGTAAACATGGCATTAGAGAAAAAAAGGTCAAAAAATCTGATTTCATTCTTTGATGAAATTACAAGTTTGGTTGATAAAGGTAACTATGAAGATAGATGTAATATACTTACACTTTTGTATGGCATTTAACTTCATACCGCACGATTCCAATTAAAAAATTAGCACTATACAATATCAATAGAGCACACATAAAATGGATTAAAAACCGTCTGACAGATCTCAAAAAGTTTACAACAGGGAATTATCATTGAATGGGAATATTTCTAAAGGGGTTCCATAGGAATCGGTACTAGACTTTAGTCCACATTTTCATCAGTGATCTGGAAGTAAATATAAAAACACTACTGACAAAACTTGCCTGTGACCACAAAGATTGGCAGAGTAGTAAATAATGACTAGGACAAGGCAGTCACACAGAAAGATCTGTATCTCTTGGTAAACTGGAGCCATTCAAACAAAATGCATTTTAATACAGCAAAATGCAAACGTTATACAGTCAGGAAACAAGGAATCCAGGCCATATCTAAAAAATTGGTGGGGTGTCTGTATTCTAGAAATCAATGACTCTCAAAAGGATATAGGGGTCATAGTGGCCAAGCAACTCAACAGGAGTTTCCAGTGCAAAGCTGTGGCTAGAAGGACAAATGCAATCCTTAGATAAACAGCGGAGTTGTAAGGAAGAGTGGGGAGGTGATTTTACCTCTGTATGACACTGGTGAGACCAATATTGGAATATTGTACCCAGTTCTGGTGTCCACAAAAAAGAAGTAGCAGTGACTTGATTATAATATACAAGTACCTTCACAAGGAGAAAATACAGGGTACACTAAAGGACTCGTTAATCTAGCGGAGAAAGGCATAACAAGATTCAATAGCTAGAAACTGAAGCCTTCTAGAGATTATTTTTAAATGTATTATTAGATATGACCAATCCTTAGAATTCATGGGTGTTCTACTATTTGGCCCCAAAATGGTGGGCAGTTTGATAAAGTCAGTGAGTTATTGGTAACCGACTTTTATTACTAAAAGATAATTCAATATAAGAGAATTTCAATAAAGGTCTTTAAATCACAGAAGAATTAAAACAAGATTGAACTGATTAACTGTTCTTAACAATTACCTTGATCAACTCCAGTTAGCTGGTGATTGGATGTAATATTCTTGGCAGGTTCTTCTGCATCTTCATAGCCATACTCTTCTTCTAATCGCTCAGCAAATGCTGAGGGTTTGTCACGTCTTGAGTAAATAAACTGAGCAGCTACAACAACCAGGAGCAGAATATTAAAAATAGTTTCCCCTTCAAACAAGTATCCCATTGTTTGAATACAAAATCTAGCTAAAGAAAATATGTACTGATGGTAGCCTGCATTAATTAATTTGGAAAAAATAATCTCATTTTGTAATTATTAGCCTAGAGGACTGCACTGGGCAAAGGAGAGTCCATACTTAAATACTGCGGATGGCCCCCTTCCACCAAAAGAGGAGAGACCCCATGCAGAAGTCAATATCCATGTACCTTTAAATATAATGAACAATTCTACCCAGTTCAGTATTCTGTAACAACAACAAAAAATCAAGTTTATGAAGACTTTCAAAGGCAACAACAACAACAAAAATTCTAGACCAAGAGTTCTCAAATATTTTTACTTAGGACTCAACTTTTAACTTCATGACCCCAAATCTCAAGAAGTTTGCACTGTTTCAGCTTTTTTAAAAAAAAGTGCATTAGCCATAATTAGTTTGTTTTAAAGTCCAGTGTGGTGTAGGGTTAAAGTAGCATTTACTAGTTTTTATCTATTCATAACAAAGTTTATTCAATTAATTCAGCCCATTTTTCTGTTCTTGAACTTTAATTTTTACAAATACAGGCCATGAATCAAAGTACTTTAGCACATGTTTAAAATTTAAACACATGCATAAATCTCACCCCTAATAAGCAAAGCACCTAAATCATATGCTTAAATACTTTGCTGAATCCAGGCCCTAGTCATAATTCATAATTTTTCAAAGTTTATGTGAAGAAATTTCAGACTGGGAGTTGTCTGTGAACATTCACTACAACTATTTGCTATATTTTATTTATGGTGTGTGAGCAGACTCTTGAGACATTTGGTTTTGTTTCTACTTTGTCACTGGATGGCTAAAGCTTTTTAAATGAGAAAAGCAAGCCTTGTCCACACACAAATATTCTAGCTTCCATGCAAAAACAAAAGTTCAGTGACTCCGCAAACATCGGTGTAATAATAAATAATAATTTGCACAAATGTTCACAAGTAGCAAAAACACACACCCTACAGATATGGTCAAAGAAAACAGCTATTCATTATTTGACCAAGTGATCACATACACCATTATGTAATATTCACACAACTCCAACTTTTATACTGAACACAAACAAATTTGATAATTTCATCTTTTAAGAAGTTATAGTCTTATCAAATGTTTCTTAAATGCACATCACCCAATATTTTATATTCTATCATCTTAGTTGCTGCAACTATTTGCAAAGCTATCTTTCTAGATGTAACCAGCATCAGGCACTTTTAAATAAAAGCTTACTGTTAAAAGATTTTGTAGGGTGCACACAAGCCCCAGCACAGCTATGCAACCCACTTGTTTAAAAACAGAATACATCTAGAGTGTCTTTTCATTTGTTTGTTTGTTTACAAGGTGAGATGACATCCTCACTCCTTATAAAAAGGACAAAAAAAAAACCACCAGCAAAGTTTAAAACTGAACACGAAGTAATTTAATTTTAAATAGGGGAACATGACGAAAAATATTGTAAATACATATCTATGTCTGCCACTGCTTACTATAGAATAAAGAGTAACCAGAGTGACAAATGACCATATTTTTAAGGTTATTTAGTTGCCTAAACACGCAGATGTGTGTCTACTGGGATTTTCAGAAGTGCCTGGGACCCTAATTCCAACTGATTTCAATAATGCACCTAAATACTTTTAAAAATCTGGCCCACATACATTTATTCCCAGAATAAAGCTATGTTTTTGCAACTGCTGCTCCAATCACATTCCAAATATAGCACTACTCTGCCCGCCTTGCCTTGGTTGACTTCTCAGCTCTTTTACCCATCAGAAAATCCCAATCTTCTCTATAATTTATCATATATATTTGTCCAAATTTCTCCAAATGAGACTTGCATAGACAAACATTTGAACTAACCTGTTGAAGGGGAAATACAACAATCATCTTCTACTGATTGGCCATAAAGATCATCATCTTCAAAATCTAAGAGGCAGAAAGAGTAAGAATTAAACTGCATATAATTTATTTTTTAAATATTTAACAAGTATGGAGTGTTTAAAAGCAATTTCTTAAATATTTTTAAAAACCCTCTCCCCGATTATATCATAATTATTCGATTTCAATATTTCAAAGGTACATCAATAAAAATTGTCTTTTTAATCAGCTATAAGTAAGAATAGTAATATATGTATTGTTAATATTCAATAGACTATGTATAGGACAGTGAAAAAAATTCAAGAACCCTCTAATTCCTTTTCTGTCCCCCTCTAACATGGAACCTAAGCAAATCATGGGACTGTCTGTATATGAATATATATGAAATAAAACAATAATCAGCATCTTTCCTACTAGAATATTTAACTTCAAGGATAAATTTATAAAACCACATACCCAAAGTACTTTCATGTGCATTGAGCATTCACACACGCAGGATGGTTTAGTATAAGATACGACAACAGAACACACTTACACAAAAGAAAATGTAACTACAACTGTACTTCTATTACTGTACTATATTATGTAACAGGGACTGGCAACCTTTGGCCTGCGGCCCGCCAGAGTAAGCCCCCTGGCGGGCCAGGCTGGTTTGTTTATCTGCCATGTCCACAGGTTCGGCCGATCATGGCTCCCACTGGCCGCGGTTCACCGCTCCAGGCCAATAGGCACTGCAGGAAGCGGCGGCCAGCACATCCCTCGTCCCGCGCCGCTTCCCGCAGCCCCCAATGGCCTGGAGCGGCGCACCGCAGCCAGTGGGAGCCACGATTGGCCGAACCTGCGGACGCAGCAGGTAAACAACCACACACACACACACCCCAACATGGTGCCGGACGCTTCCGGAAGCGGCGCAGGGCCTAGGCAGGCAGGGAGCCTGCCTTAGCGGCGTGGCGCCGCTGCCATCCCAGAGCCGCTCCAGGTAAGTGGTGCTGGGTTTGAGCCCGCACCCCAACCCCCTGCCCTGAGCCCCCTTCCACACTCCAACCCCCTGCCCTGAGCCCCCTGCCGCACCCCACACCCCTCCTCCACCCCAACCCCTTGCCCTGAGCCCCCTCCGACAGTCCGCACCCCTCCTCCACCCCAACCCCTTGCCCTGAGCCCCTTCCTGCACACTGCACCCCCTCCCACACCCTGCATTCCCTCCCACACCCCAACCCCTTGCCCCAGCCCTACATTCGTGGCCCTGCATACAATTTCCCCACCCAGATATGGCCCTCAGGCCAAAAAGTCTGCCCACCCCTGCCTTATGTTGTGGTCTGTTCTCTCTCTCCTTCTCCCACTCTGTTTTTGTTTTTTTTTTTTAAATGAATCAGTTCTGCATTTTTTAAAATGTATCGTCTCCTCATATTACAGTTATTCCAAGAATAAGACCTTTGCTGGCTTTTAGAGAAGGAATAGAAAACGTTTAGCACAGAGTAAGTGTCCTTCCAGCAATGTGATTGCTCATGTTTTTTGTAGGTTTTCCTTCTATTTCCTTTTAAATATGAATTACAATGTCATTAAGTAATAACCATATCCTCAGTTGAATAAACTCTTTGGCCTTCTTGGGAAGAAGCATGATCTATTTTGAAGGAATGAGCATAATATTGAGAGCCAAAATGTCCTGGCTCTTTCAATGACTGTTCCATCTCTTGCCTCACTTCTCCATCTATCAGAGTAGCAGCCGTGTTAGTCTGTATCCGCAAAAAGAACAGGAGTACTTGTGGCACCTTAGAGACTAACAAATTTATTAGAGCATAAGCTTTCGTGGGCTACAACCCACTTCTTCGGATGCATATGGGTTGTAGCCCACGAAAGCTTATGCTCTAATAAATTTGTTAGTCTCTAAGGTGCCACAAGTACTCCTGTTCTTTCTCCATCTATAAAATAGGAAAATACTATAAGAGTACTGAGAAGATTAACATAACAGCTGTATGGACATGTAAAGCTATGTAAGGGTAATATTAATTATTTCTAATAAATAAGTCTAAGTTTATTCAGATCAGGATATGGCTCTCAGAGCTCATTAAAAGGAAGCAAATTATGGAAAAGGCAAACTTATTTTCAAGGCTTAGTATTTACAAATACATAATGAACATAATTATAAAGAACAAAATATATACTAAAATATTGTTTAAAAGATGATAGTGCACACTCAACAGTTTAAAATATTTATATAATTTGTTTTAAAAAGTCATGAAGAATGAAGTAGCTATAATGCTAACAAAACTATGCACACTCCATAATAACAGCTTCTACACCAAAGCAAATGTTGTACCCTTCCCTATAAAAGGCACTCAGATCCAACTGGGGAATTAAAAGCTTATTGCTCGGACTACTTGATGTGACATGGACAAATCAGCTTCTGTAAAGAATAATCATACCTCTATCAGAATTCTTTGGGTATGTTAATAAGCCAGTGGATAATGGAGAACAGGGTGTCACAATTATTTGGACTTTCATTAACCATTTGACAAAGTTCCTCATAAGCAGCTGCTAAGGAAACTAAGTAGCAGCCATAGGGTGAAAAATAAAGTACTGTCATGGATTAGAAACTGGTTAACCTGGGGCGGGGTGAGGTCATTTTTCAACATGGTCAAAAAATAACAGTGAAGTGTCCCCGGTTCCACACTAGGACTGGTGTTTATTAATATATTTCCTATTAATCTGGAAAGGGGGCTGAGTGGTGATGTGGGAAATTTTGCAGATGAAACAAAATTACTGAATTAGCCAAGAGGTGAGCAAATCACAATGAAATTCAAACAAAATGAACAAATACACGCTGGTAAGTGCAATTCCAGTGTTGACAAATGCAAGGTAACACACATTGGAAATAATAAGGTGTCAATACCAAGAGAGGGAAAATTGCCTCATTTTCCCTGTCTTGGTATTGACACTGCCTCATCAATTATTTGAAGTGGACCACATCCACTCTGACTGAACTGGACTTGTCAACACTGGTTCTCCACTTGCAAGGTAATTCTCTCTTCATGTGCCAGTATATTTAGGCCTGTATCTGTAATTTTCACTCCATGCATCTGAAGAAGTGGGTTTTTTTTACCCACAAAAGCTTATGCCTAAATAAATCTGTTAGTCTTTAAGGTGCCACCAGACTCCAACAAGACAGATGGACCACTAGTTTGATCTCACGGTAATTCTTGTGTTCCTATCCCCAAAACAGCAACAGGTATGTCTAATTTTACATAAATACATCATCTAAACCAAAATTGCATTACAACACAAAAAATAACATTGATCTTCTCTTTGGACATTAACTACCAGATTTATTCATAAATAAGTGTGGCAATTACTACTATATTCATTTTTACCCATTTGAAAATAGCTCTCTCTCCTTTTGTATTTAAGATTTCTAATTTTTGAAAAGTAAAGGAAGAACAGCAGAATTATTAAAAATAAAGCTGACCCCCAAGAACTCACACTGCATCAAGTGAGCACAAGAATAGTTTGATTTTGCACTGGGAAGGAGATGGATTTTCTTCTTTTGTTTTCCCCTAAAATTTCCCAGTTTTTTCACATTCAATGCAGCTTTAGCAGAGGCAGCAATGATGGGAACGCTAGTGTAGAGAAAGGGCTAATGCCTTCCTGTGACTTAGCCATGGAGTCGTTCAGATATGTACTAGTACTCAACCATGGCTACTCCTGGTAGAACTGAACCAGCAGCAAATTTTAGGACAGAAATACAGTAAATATACATATTAGATGTATAAATGGTCTTTCCTGTCCCTAATTTCCATGACGAATAATCTTCACTACTGGAATGCAAAAGATTTGATATGGCCAGTCTTGCAATAGAAGTGATTTTTTTTTTTATTTACCTAGACAAAAATAGAAAATTGCATTGTCTATCCAAAAAGTAAACTCACAGCAAAACCCAACTATGGTACAGGTAGCATGCCCCCATAATGTATGTCTCTGTGTGTGTGTGTGTGTGTATATGTACGTATGTGTACGCACTTATACATACACACACCCAAAACTAACAAATTTGGATACAACACAATTTGTAGACCAAGTTTCTTATGTACATAACAAAATGTTCATTATATGCATATAGCAATTAAAGACTGCAATCCAGCAAACACTTACGCAAGTAACTTTAGATGTGTAAGTAGCGTAGTCTCAATTAAAAGGATTACTCACGTGTAAAGATATCCATGTGTGTTTGCAGGATTGGGACCCAAGTGTTTAATAGGAAAACTGAAAACCACTTAAAGGCAGGGACATTTGTAGAGTTTAGCCCCATCGCAGACTAGGTGAAACTGAGTTAATCTCCAAGGGGTGAAACAATCAAGCAGAGAAATCTCCAAGCAAATCTTAAGATTTGTCTATATTAGGTTAATTTGCACCAGTGATGCAAACTCCTAATGTAGATGCACTGATTGATGTAGTGTCACTTACACTGGTGTAGTTTACTCAAATAAGCTATAAACGCCACTAGTGACTGCATGACCTGAAACTCTTATTTTCATAATATGTTTAAGGGTGAACAGATACAAATTAGACTTGAATTGCTGCAGGGAGCTAGAGATCCTGGTAAAAAGAAGTGCAAAATCATTATTTAAAGTCATTGATCTAGTTACACAGGTATATGAGCACCTAATATAAATTGCAGTGTAGGTAAATGAGATAGTATATCAAAGAAAGCTGCACTAACGCAGGTGTTCGTAAGAATATAGTTATATGAAGGCAAACTTAAAATATACAGAGCCTTAAATACTCCCATCTTAAGACAAGTTGTCTGGAAACCAGCTGCTTTATTACATGTCCTGCAAATTCCCTCTTCAGGGATCTGCATGTCCTCCCCAAGAGATTAGGGACATCACCCAAACCTAAAACACAGAGGAAGGCAACTGACACCTCCTTGATGTTTCAAGTGGTTGTGATGTCATAAATTGGTCCGGGAGACACACTGAACACTCAGTGCACAGCGAGGTTAGGTGAAAATAAGCTGTCTTAAATTAGCACTATCCACGTGAAACGTCGTCAGTTTCAAACAGAGCTGAAAGTTGTAAGGTACTACACCCGACCCTGTCTTCCCCTGCCAATTTCTGTGCTTTTAAAATGCGTTTCTACTTTTTAAATATTTGTCTCTCCCATGCCATGCTGTGAAAGTCCCACACCGAGATGGAAATGGGTGAACTGGTTTCCACAAGGGAGAGAATTAAACTGAGATCACTCGAACTGCTGTCAAACGCGCTCCCTAAACAAACCCTGAAAGTTAGAGTGAAAATTGCCCCCTCCAACTCCTACTCCCCTGAGGCCTAGTACCCACACATCCCATACACGCCACTCCTGTTCCCGGGGCCTAGCCCCGTCCACGGCCTGGCGTACACACAGCATCCCCCTTCCCTCCCCCCGAGGCCGCCTGGGAGACGTGTTCATGCCGCTGGCGCTTCCTGCCGCCAGGACCGACCGGGGGGGAGGGGCTGGTTACTGGTAGGGACCGGAGATGTGAAAGGCGGAGACTTCTCGCTACCTTCGTCGTAGTTATAGCCTCGGACGTTCCTGTGCCGGGCCATGGCGGCGGCGACGTCGCTCACACTCGGTGGCGTTGGCGGCCGCAGCCTTAGGCCGCCATCTTGGTCTCCGCCTGGCCTCTCCCAATCGCTGTGCGCAAGCGCCAAACAGCCTCCTCCCGCTCGTTTTGTCTGCGCAGGCGCAGCCCCTCGCCGACTGCCCAGCCGAAGGAGCTGCTCTGAGTGCGAGTTTTCCCCTGCCCCGCCCCCTCCGGCCGGTGCAGCCTGACCCCGCCCAACGCGGCCCGCCTGGCAGCACAGCCCAGTCAGTGCTCCGCCGCCAGCCCCGCCCCCGACACGTGCACACCCTGCCAAACCCGACTTACATCCCCCGCCGCCATCCGCTGCGAGCAACCGCTCCAGAGCCCGTCGTGCTCCCTGCGCACCCCCCGCCAGTCACTCCATCCACGGCCCTGACTGCGCTGTACCCCACCACCCCATCCCTGCCCTACCCCCCACACAGACCAGGCCATCCCCAATCCCATGTACCGGCCACGCTGTCCCTTCCACACACACTGCAACCTGCCCATCTTCCCCGGGTATACCGGCCCCCCTAGAACTGCCCAAGCTGTGCCACTGCCCTGACACACAGGTCATCAGTCTCAGGGGCAGCAGGTTTGTATAATTTTTAGTGGTGCCCAGAACGGGTCCGAGTCCTGCTTGCTCCCCCCTTCTTCCCCCCGTCACTTGCCTAAGGCTCTGGGAGGGCGTTTGGGTGTGGGGTGGGTGCAGGCTCTGGGAGGGTGTTTGGGTGCTGGGTGTGGGCTCTGGGCTGGGGCAGGGGGTTCGGAAGGAGGAGGGTATGGGGGGGCTTGGGGTGCAGGCTTTGGTTGGGAGTTTGGGTGCAGGAGGGGAGCTGGCTCTGGGAGGGAGTTTGGGTGTGGGACTGGGGCTGCTCAGCTTGGAAAAGAGACTAAGGGGGAATATGATAGCGGTCTATAAAATCATGAATGGTTTGGAGAACATATGGTTTCAGTCTGGACCTTTACTGATGCATATCAAAATGCTCTAGACCAGTGTTTCTCAACAACTGGCCCGTGGACCAGCACCAGTCCCCGAGATCTCCCTGACACAGTTTAGGAATGCAGTAAGCCAGTCCCTGGTATCAAAACGGTTGAGAAACACTGCTCTAGATGACTAGGTTAAAATGTTAAAATCTGTGATAAATATTAAACACACTAAAGTAACAACATCTTTTCTATTTCATATAACACTTCTGTTAAACTTGTTCATCATATTTTTAACACAAATCTCATCAGTCTCTTACCAATTTATCATTTTATCACACTTCCTTGAATTTTGGTACCACTTTTACTGGCTTATTTATCACTTTTTTGATTACCCCTAATTTCTGGGGACAAAAACCACATATCCTCTATTTGATAACCAAATATAACACTGTTTTCAAGACTTTGGAAGTTTTATTTAAAGTGAATAACTTAAATAATGGCACTAGAAAATATAAACATAACTACTCTCCGGTGCAGGAGAATCTACATAGTATAATCCTTACATGCCAATAACATGAAGCTTCCCTGAAGCAATAATTTTAATGGTAAAGCAGATGTAATCTTTAAAAAGAACCTGTAGCCTAAAATATTTCTTAGTTTAATGTGTAATTATCACTTAGCAGATAGTTTGAAAAGAAGACCTGCCAACATTACATTCCAAGGACAATAGCATGCAGAAGTATTATTATTTTTGTATTGCAGTAGGGCTCAGGAGGGCCCCATTTTTGTTCTATTTGGACAGCACCTAGCACAATGGGGTCTTGGTCTATGGTGAGGGCTCCTAGACACCACTGTAATACAAATAATAATAATAAATGTGCCATAGTCCTTCCCTAGGTACTGTTCACTCTGAGCCCGATATAAATATTTGGAGATGATGACCAGCTAATGAACTGTTCAAGAACCATGTGACAGTGTCATATTTCCAAAGCTATATTTAAAGCTCCGCTAGTGGTATTCTTTTAAAGTGAATGTAATGCTCATGAAAGGGTTTGCCTACATTTGAAATGCTACAGTGGCTAAGCTGCGGTGCTGCAACTGCACCACTGTAGTGCTTCAGTGTAGACACTATCTATGCCTACAGGAGGGGTTCTCCCCGAGATGTGGTAGCTAAGTCGATGGAAGAATTCTTTCATCAACCTAGCACTGTCTACACCGGGGGTTAGATCAGCTTAACTACATTGTTCAGGAATGTACATTTGTCACATCAGTGAGCAACGTAGCAGGGTCGACCTAACTTTTTAGTGTAGACCAGGCCAAAGGTACAAGACTAATAGAAAAGAACAAATTAAAACTTCTGTCTAGCCACAGATCATGTGCAATATGATAGCAACAATTCAAGCACTGTCAGAGTATCCTGCCAATCTGCCTCCAACATCTTTAACCTGGAGATAGCACCTCTTGAGGTGAACAGGTTCATTCTCTATGATCATTCAGACCCTAGTCCCTTCACTGAAACTGCCTTGAACTGATATTTCTTATGTAAGGACCTGTGCACTAGGAACTGAATTGAGATCACCAATGTATTTCTCAGAGGCCATCAAACAGCCAGCAGATAGTAATGATTTTTGGTTATTATCAATTTGCTGATCTGAACTGTTGACCTAGAGGTATCCATAATACATCAGTAATCATCTGTCATCCAGCTTCCTGTGTTAGTACATTTAAAAAAGTAAATTATCATTTAATGAAATATTTCATACTAATTTACGCAGCTTATGTGATAAAGCTTCTGGATAGTGGGTTTTTTTGTTTTTTGTTTTTTTAAAGTGTATTTTTCTTTTTTACTGTTTTTGACAAGTAAAATGTCTTCTTAGGATCTCACAACAAATTTTCAAAAGAACCTCTTTTCTACTCATCTTGTATAATTCTCAGTACCCAAAAGGTTCACAACAAGATTACTCAGTAAGTCAACTGTGTTTAAATGTCTAACAAGGCCTTCAGTTTTCTGAACAGAAACAAAGTTATGAAAAATTGTACAGGCTACCTTCTCCTATCTGCTGTAGTGGAAAAACAGTCACCGCTCTTTCACAGGTTACTCAACCCTGTAACTGTCTAAAAAGCTTTAAGTATCAAGCATTCAGTACAAAGATTGTGCTTAAACACTCCTTTTAAACCCACAAGTAAACAGGGCATGGTTTGGAGAAAACTAATTCCAGATGGCACTGTAATGTGTCACTTTCGGGTTAAGTTTTAAAATATAGTGTCAATGTCACTAACTATGTATCTAACTGATAAATGATCTAAACTTCTCAAAAGATCTGTACCCATTAAATACATGAATATCTTTATTTAAAAGGACACTATCTAGCTCAGAAACTGGCTAGGAGACAGAGTGGGAATAAATCATTTTGCAACACAATAAAAGGTTTACAGTAGGCATCACAAGTTTGCATATTGTGATCAGTGTTCTTGTATTCATGATCTGGAAAATGGGGTGAGCTACAGAGTAACAAAAGTTTCATATAATACAAAATTATTTAGGTTAGTCAAGACAAGAGACTATTTGAGGAACTTCAGAGGGACCTAATTAAACTGTATGAATGGGCAACAAGATGGTAAATGAAATTTAGTGTTGACAAATGCAAAGTAGTGCATATTTGGATGGAATAACTGTAACTATTTGTACACCTTACAAGGTCCTAAATTAACTGTAGCAACTCAGGAAAAAGACTTGGGCATCATTGTGGGCCTGTTGCAGGGCTGGTACACCCCATCACACTTTGGGGAGGGGCATTATAGCCCCTTGGCTGAGTCCAAATGACCACCCTTAGCTTCAGGGAAGTATGGCCTAATGGCCAGAGTCAATAAGGCATCCCTCCTTGGCGGGGCCTCGTGGCAAGAGTCAATATGGCTGCCCTCCTCGGCAGGGCTGCATGGCCTATTGGCCAAGGGAAGAAGTGGGCCGCCACCAGGGATGGGTGGCATCTGGGGTAGGGGGACCCCGGTCCTCCCTACTCCACCAGATCCCAACCCAGGGCCTTGATAGCAGTGAATGGATTCGCCAGTAGGTCAGCAGGGAGCTGTCTGAAACACGCTGCCTTCGTCCCGGTTTCACAACCAGATCAATGTCTAGTTCCCCTGGGTTACTTCCTATGCTGCTTTCCAGTGTTGCTGTCCAGAGGTCTCCCGGCCCTCTGGGATCATCGGCTTGAGAACCTCTCAATGACTCCATCCCCTCTTGGGCTTCTGCAGGTAGTCGGGTATCTGCTTGGGTCTCAGCACACTTGGCCTCTGCGGTCTGGGGCTCCAGCAATTCCTAGGAGTGAGCCTGCAGTGTGCGTCCTCCCTCTTCAGTGGCCAGCTCCAACTGAGCTGGGCTGCTCCCTTTTATACTGAGGTTCCAGTTGGAGTATGCCCAGCAATGATGGGAGTGTATGGCTTCCTCCGCCCACAATATGGGGTTAACCCTTTTTGTCCACTGCAGAGCTGGTACACCCCATCACAGGGCCATTCAGTGAAGCCCTCTGCTCAATGTACGTCAGCAGCTAAAAAGCAAACAATATTTTAGGATGCATGAGTAATCAGACAGAAAATTATATGGAAATACTGTAATGTTATCATGTAAATCAATGGTATTCCCTCTCATAAAACAGTGTGTTCAGTTCTAATAACCCCTAAAAGAATATCACAGAAATAAAGGAGGTTCAGAAATGGATAAAAATTATTAGGGGCATGGAAAATCTCTTATATGAAGAGACATTGAAAAAATTGGGATTTACCTTACAGAGGAAATGAAGAAGACGGGACATGATAAAAGTATACAATAACGAGTGGCATACAGAAGATAGATCCGAAATTTCCATAACTTTTTTTTCTTTTAGTAAAACGAGAGAATTCAATGAAACTGAAAGGTGAAAATTTTTTAAAAGATAAAAGGAATCATTTTTCATGCAACACAGAGTTAGGTTGTGAAACTCATTCTGACTGAGGCCAACAATTTAGCAGGATTCAAATATACATTAGACATTTATATGGATAACAAAAATATTCAGAGTTATAACAGTAAATATTTTAAAACATGTATACAAGAGTTTTGTATACAAGAGTGATGTAAACCTTCAGGGTTCAGGACACAAGCCAACTTCTAACTATTAGGACAACTGAAAAGTTGCATTAATTAGAGTCATGGATATTGAGGTAGCATTAATACAAGTTGTCTTAAATGACTCTTATTCT